CTTCTGCCTAATATTTATTAATATCTAGTATTATATATAATTAATACCTATTACTATTACTTATATTATTAAGTTATCTATAAATATAATATATAGCATAACTATAATACTTATGCCTATAAGTTATATTACTGCTGGCAATATAAATAGTATACTTTTTCTAGCCTTTATTAATAATATACTAATTGCTATCTAATCTATCTTAAGTAATATAATTATCTATATACTTTTAGCCTGCTTTTTAGATTATTAAGTTACTTTTAGCCCTAATAGTGTTTATAACCTTTTAGCTATATTATCTTCTATCTTTTAAGCCACTTTTTAAGCAGTCTTTTTTTACTTATAGCTCTATTGCCTTATTACTTAACTATTCTGCTTATACTTTAGTGCATTTTTCTTATTTCTTTTATCTTTATCTTTCTTTTTTATACTACTTCTCTCTAAAAACTAATACTAAAGCTTATTAATCTCCTTAAAAGTTATAATTATCTTTAGTTAAAGCTTACCTAAAAAGCTAATATATATAGTATAATACTATCTTATAATATATATTCTATATATTAACTATAGATCCTATATAATATTCTAGCTTCCTCTATAGTTAACTGGCTTATCTATAATTAGATTAACCTTAATATTATTATCTTTATCTTTATCTTTTATTTAACTGTTTAGCTGCCTTATAATAAGCCTTTAAATTCTCTGCCCTATTTTAATAGTAATTACTTAATACTATCTTACTTTAATCCTAATCCCTATACCGGCCTATATTATATATATAAGCTTCCTGCTTAGCTAATTAGTATTCTATACTTATAAGCTGCTATCCTGCTATATATACTTTAGCTAATTACTATATAGCTTAGTAAGCTAATACTCTTGCCTTAATATCCTTTCTGCTAGAATTAACTATAATATATATATTATAATTATCTACTTAATTAAATTAAGTAAAAATTATATTACCTTTTAATTATTATTATAGATTACTTTTATTTTATCTTAATCTATAATAAGTATAATCTGCCTATTTAATATAAATATATTATAGATTAGCTGCTATAAGTTATAGTACTATAGCATTATTACCTTTAGCCCCCTACCTAAAAGTCTACCTTATATATATATAAGTATATATAATATCTCTTAAAATAGCTATAAATTATAAAGCTATATTTTAACCTTCTGCCACTTTTACTAATTTTGCATTATATTTTATATTAATATTTCTATTAGTTATATTACCTTTACCGGCCTAGGCTCTAACTAATTATTCTTTAGATTATTTATAAATAATTAATTTACTTTAAGCTATATTATATTATTAGCAATCTATTTTATATTAATTATTCTACTAACTTTCTATTATAATCCCCTAAATAGCCAGTTTAATATCTTTTATACCTTTATAACTTAACTATAAAGCATATAGGTAAATTTTTTAATATTAACCTCCTTATCTATATAAAATAGCGCCTCTTTATTATCTACCTACTATATTAATAGCTGCCCTCCTATCTTTTAGTAATGCCCTTTTCTATATACTATTTACCTAATAATTATACTAATAATAATATAACTACTAATATATATTTATACAGTATATTACTCTTTAAATAAAAGTACTGCCTTTACTCTAACCTTATCTTAATCTTACGGCTTATCCTTAAATACAGCCTCTAGAAAAAATAGCTAGGCTTATTATAATATACTAGCTAGTATGCCTATATATAAATATAGCTTTATATAGCCTAGTAAATATTACTTAATATTAAGTGCTATATAAAAGTATAATAGCAGGTTTATATATAAATTCCTATTAATTTCTATTTTAATTAAAGAAATAATAAACTAGAATATAGCTTAATTAAGTATATTATATATTAAACTGCTTATACTGCTATTATTAAACTCTTTATTATACTTACTAACCTCTTTATCTTCTTTATTATTAATATTAATATTTTTATTACTATAGAACCTACTGTCTTAACTACTAGAAAATATATCTTCTTAAAGCTTTTTATTAATATTATATAGTAAGCTCTATTACTTATCTATAAACTAAATAGCCTAGCATTTAAGTGCCTCCTTATATCTAATATAATATAACCTTTAGTAAAAGCTTAAGTAGCAGTAACCTACTAAATAATATTTAATTATTAATACTTTCTT